CTGTTCCCCTACAGCCTCGACTTTGGGACCATTTTTTTGCCAGTCGCTGATAGAAAGTTATCACCTTTCAGTTTTAAGCATCATTTATCTTTTGAGTGAAGATGACCATCTTTATCTACTTTGTTAATATTAACAAAAGGAATCCCTATTCCTCATACCTCTAATGCCAGTAAAGGGCTACAAATCATTTATGGCGCAAATATTCCCAAACCACTTCCTGGGGCCTTAATTACCAGGCTGACAAAAAGGCGCTGGATCACCAAGAATCCAAATCAGTGGATTCTGTTCCTGCAATTGCCAACGTTTCAGGACCCTGCTCCATCTTCCCTGATTAAGAGGTTTAAAAAGGTGACTGCGAGTTTGAACTTTTACTGAGAAGCTGAAATTACAGGGCTAACTGAAGCCAGTAACGTGCCACGTTGTCACTTAGCTGACAACCCCGATTCTCTAGCCTCTATTTAGCTGACAGAACAAATCGCTTTAAAACCTCAGTTCCTTTCCTTGAGCCATCGCTGGCCTAACCCCATAATCCTCACTCCCTATCATGTCCAGAGCCTGGATGATGGACACCTATCTCACTGCCACTAGGCCTGAAAGCAGTTTCCAGGGCCTGTGTTGGAAAGGGGCTCCAGCTGACCCAGTCCTTGATCCTTCAAGGTATAAACCACCAAACTCCCCTGCATCACTGAGCTGAAGGAAGCACAGCCCAGGGTTAGAAAGGACAGTGGAGGATACTGCATAAAGCAGCAGCAAGAAACGGCCAGAGCCTCAAAACTCAAGCACTCTTGTGTACTGAGTACACACGGTCCATGTACAGCCTGCAGAACCTCGGAACCACTCAAGGTTTCTGTTATGTTCAAAGAGCACCGAGTCTTAAAATATTAGAAGAGAGTTTGCAAATAAACTGCAAAAAGTTACATAAATAGCAATGCTGCCCCTCCCACAGAGCAAGGCTGTGCCCTGTGTTTTCTTCCAAAGCACTGTCTGAATACTTCCAGTCTCCTTAGTTAGACAGACACTGATTTTCTAAACCAGGGTAGACTGTGAAGTTTCAGAATTCAGACTATAAACACACAAAACGAAGCAAAGATTCTCCCCACAAAATGTACCCTTAAGTAACTTGGGAAAAAGCATGTGTCGTCGTTTAAATTAAACTCCACTGTATAGTATCAACACATGGCTTTACTGTTGTTTGGGGTTCTTTTTCTGGCATGAAGGATAAAGGTGAAACAATAAGATGTATGAATTAAACGGAAACAAACTACTATGAATAAGAAATCTGAAGCTGTGATATATATATATAGTAAAAGGCAACCAGGAAACAAAAAAAGACTCTTGTGAGCCCCAGGTGAAATGTAGG